ATTCTGACCCCCCCACACTAATATTCAAATATATCAAAGTAGCCTTTGAAATTATGGGATACCATTGCTGATATTTTTTTGAGAAAGTACTCATTCTGGGCAACTCAAAAAATATATCAGTCATGATATCCCATAATATTTAAGGTCAGTTTGATATATATGAAATATGGCAGAGGGGGTCAGAATTATTGCAAACAGCTGTACAGCTTCTTTATCCTTCGATGCACGGACAACACTACAACAAGTAAGAACGCAAAATATAAATTTTAACGGTCAGCATTCAAAGTGAAAGTATCATTACTTCAAACTATGAAATTGTGATGGTGTTGATAATTCATTGTCGATATCGTTAAGGTGTTACGGATGCATATAAATTATTAAATTCAAAATTTCAAGTTCAATATTGTTATTTTATAGATTTTTTGTCGAAATTAGACCACATCTAAACAAAGTCTGAGGCTTCATACAAATTTATGTCCACGGTATACTTGTCTAACAATCTACGAGTTGTGTCGCCATTGGCGGCTTGATTATTTGAAGGCGAAAGAATTGTGTAAAAAAATTCAATAGAATAATGGGATCCCTGTGGCAAAGAATGAAGTCAAGAGAGCATGCGCAGAACGTTTCGATTGCGTAGCGTGTGACAGTCGTAGCGTGTTTGTTTGTAGTTCAAATTTTCTGATTTATCGCTCAAGATACATCAAAATACAATCTAAAGGCTAACAAAAACATATATAAATATAAGTAAGGCCTGCACTAGGAGATGTCCAGTGTAATTTTTTGGAATTAGGCTGGTCTGGTGTCTCGTCTCGCTATACTTAATGGCCAAATCCTGGTTAAATGAAGACTGCTCTAGTGAGACCACAACAACTAACATGAAAACCTGCATGGATGCTGAAACGAAGAAATAATATGCACCTGAAGTCAAGAAAACCAGCAAGAGAACGCGTAGAGCAGCAGTCGATCACGGTCAACTAGAAAAATAAGCCGCCGTTGGATTCGTTTCATCTAGTGAGTCTCTGAATTCTTATATTTGTTTCAGGAGTATTCTCTACTTATAAACGGTGATGTGATTGAGATTTAAGTCTTTTAAATAATCTTTGTTGCAATAATTTTTCAGTTATCGTAATTTTCGGTTAGCTAGAAGTCCACATTGACGATTTTTCGGCATAAAAATCCTTGATAATTGCACTCGAAAAACTTTGGAATTTTGTTTTATCAGCAATGATTATGATGGGGAGTTAATAAAAGTACAAAAAAATACATTAAGATCCTATGAATAGTCGTACTTTCCACTGAAGCTGCAAGAGCGTACAAGTTTTAGCGAAATTTTATAGTAAGTAGAGTAAGAAATAAAAGTTCTTCGTCGAGAAATCTACTTCTCTTGGTTGGTATGCAAGATAACGCGCTGCAATTTCCCTCTTCGTTTGAGCTGATTCAGCTTTCCTACAGGTACATCTCGTCTTACTGAAATCAAAACTCGGTATAAAACGACCTGAACTCAGTGAACACGAACGAGACAAACTTCTGTTCGTTTAAGTTTATAGTTTTGGTGATGATTTCCATGGTTTCATGTTCATTCTTGATGGTAAAAAAATTAATTCTCTTGAAAAAAAAAACATGTCTTCTTACTTTGCTTTAGTTTGTTTGCCTTCCTGTCCACTAATAAACTCTTCAAATGTGGAATTTTGATCAAAAAACACAGTTCACCTTCAGCCATTTTGCCATCAACGCGCGGTATGTGAGAGAAGCCATTTCAGTGTTGTGAACGTCGCTTTCTGATTGTCTGATTACGGTTTTTCTGTGTTGTGATTGGTTATATTTTCACATGTGAAAAATGCTATACGCGCTTCTGATTGGACGTATCGCTATTTTCACATGTGAAAATATAGCATACAGATTTCTATTTATGCCATTTACTCTATGAAAGTCTCGTTATATATATAATAAACATATATATGCTCATAGTGTTATTTACATCTGTTTATGTTGTAATCGCTAGTCGAGAAGTCTCGTGATTGCCGTCTCTTGATTGTTAACGACCGTTAAATTGTGCAGTCAATATTGGATATCTCTAGACTTGTGAAAACCGAACTTGGCTTGTGTTGCGTGGCTGACCTAAGACAACGTTCTCCACTTATATACACACTCTGTTTTCCCTAAGGACACGCGCTGCACTCGCACGTGCATAGGGCCGCGTGCCGGCAAAATATTAATTTATCCCAAACTCGTTCCTCGTTTGTCACAAATTACATATTTTGACTTCACTACTCATATCCAACACAACGACACGCTAACGCTTGGACAGGTCGGTCAGCCAGCCCCAGATAGATTGTGACTACAGAAAGGGATAGAGATGGAGGGATTTGGAGACGTCAAGTCTGGACTGAATGGTGTCCTTGATGCATTTGTCTTTTGATACCGTTGATTTCCATCTGCCGTGTCTTTGAACGTCGTTTCTTTCTGGTTGAAAGTTTCTGATATTCTCCCTTTCAGGATAGCTTCCTACTAATGTTTTTGATCGAATAAGCTTGTTTGCCCGCGGTAATAGGTTTGGAGGTATATTTTAACATTTCCAGCCTCTTGCTGGAATGTCGGGGAAACAGCTCACCTTGTATAGCTTTCACAGTGCTGCAGCAGTCACTTTGGCGTTACAGGGTATAAGCGTACGCTTTAGTTTCAAAAGTTTATATTGAAATGAAGTAAKGAGGATTTTTGAGGTATGGGTRTTTGWGTTGGAAATAGGTACATTTGTGAGTTAACAGTAACGAATCACGAAAGGGTGTGGGCGTGGGGAGGGTCAGAGCCATCCCCATTCCTTATCCCTATCTCATGAATAACAATACCCGGGGAAGAATATTAYACTGTGTTCACAATATCAGATCTTGCAAGGGCGCGCTCACTTCATAGACAAGAGTGACTCTCGCTAGTTTTAGACTAAAAAATGTGGTAAAAAACAAATTGCACACGGATTTTTGTGGCATGTCCTCTTATTGACACAACCTTACTCAATTTGTGAAACATATAATACAAACATACAAAAGCCGATTATGAACTGAATTCGCACTAAGAGGTTAATAGTACTGTTCTGCTTTGAACCGTTTGCAGATCGCAATGAATGTAAAGATGCCGGCAAGCCATGCAGCGAGAACGCCTTCTGTCGTAACCTACAAGGTGGATATCGATGTACATGTAAACCCGGCTTTGCTGGAGATGGCAGGCAATGCCTTCAAGGCCTCGCCTCAACACAAAAACAACAAGCAAACAAAATAGCAATCATAGCAGGATTTGGAAGCGTAGGTTTGCTGTCAATTATAGCAATAACTGCAGTACTAGCTTGGATATGTCATAAGAAGACAAAGAAAACAGAACACGAAACTTTGATGTTGACATCTTTTGAGCCAGGCTTTGACGTTGGATACGCTGAAGATATACCAGAGGAACATTGGCAGGAATATAATAACTATGAATCTGATTACGAAACAGCTGATGAATCAGATGATTCTGATGTCAGCCTTTGGTGAAGAAGCATATAAAAGAACTAACGGTTTTGTTTTATGCAGTTGGATAAGAAAAGACAATCTCGATATTGAAATGAAAATCAACGGTTTTTTACTAGGCGTTCTAAATGTTTTATTTATCATTTGTATTACACACCCTTGCCATCTACCACTGAACCCTTTTGTCTCAAATGTTCAAAGTGGCGATCAATTATTGCTGCAAAGCGATTGTGAGTAATTATCCCTTTTCTGTGAGCAGTCATTACCTACAAAGAAACATACATCAACATAAATTTTTAAATTGGAAGTGATTTGGCAAAAAGGCGCTCGTTTTGATGAGTACGCTCGCGCCATCGCTGAACTGCGCACTGTACTTAAAGGGTGAAACAATCGGAAAGGAAAACAGTTTAAACAAATAAGTAGTCTTTGAGGTTGAGCACAATWCTCATCGATAAATCTGCGAAATGCAATGTCAAACAATACGGAAATCCGTTTTATATTTCTTTAATAATTATGAATAAATGCTAGAGTAGCCGGGCGCCGCGAAACATAACAAACATGCTAAATAATGCCACTCAACGTATAAGTCCTATATGGCCTGTAAATTTCGTGCATTCCCATTGGTCGTTGCGTTATCCGTATAAAGGCATATCCGACCGTTACTACAGCGGACTTCGTATGACTGGATAACCGTAACTGCAGTTACGTTCCCTACTATGATCAAGCGTGAGGCATGATAGTATGACTTCATTTTCGTGTGGCCGCTTCACAGAATTTTCCTTTCAATAAGGCGAAGAAGAGAATAGAAATATGTAAATAGAAATACATAGTCCTTTCTTTTTTTGTTGATCAAACTATGGGCAACTGAATATGATCAAACGCGAAATTCTCCGATACTTCACGAGTGAACGAAAGATTGCAAAGATTTATTATGAAAATTCTTACACTTAACATTAATCATTACATCTTTATTTTGCTTATTAACTCATAGGTAAAGTTATTTATTGCTACCACATCTTTTGCATAAAAAAATATATGAAATTACGTGGGCAATCTGAATTTGAATTTTCAAAGAAAAAACTTTTTTTTCTTATTGAACATTTTCCCATTCGCGAAATCGCATAAAATATCCAGTTTATAAATTAAAAAACAAAACAAAAAACTTTAATGAAATACCAAGTAATCTTTTTTCTCAAAGAACAAATATACYCCGGTTCGAATTTCTTGCATCGAAGCACAACAATATACAAAATACTAAGAAATATAAAACCCCACGATGTAGCTTTGCCAGGAACTTGACGTTCCCCTAACTATTCAACTAATGCGCGTCTAAAGAAATCCATCAATTACAAATGTTTAGAATATATAGATTACTCCACGGAAAGTTCCAACAACGATTCACGAGTTGCGTAGCACCAAAAAAACGAACGAGTGAGCGCAGCGAACGAGTRAGTTTTTTGATGCGCAGAAACGAGTAAATAAAAATCGTTGTTGGTACTTTCCGTGGTGTAATTTATTTATTTTATACATACTAAGATTTCTCTTTGAGTTGTAGAAGTCTGTGCGAGAAATGGAGGCAGGAATCCATTTGAATGCAAAACACACATACACCGCGACATCAGAATAAAATGACAACTTTTGGTAAACAATTTTTATTAAAAAGCGACTGAACTATACATAAAATCGTGAAAATATAAATACACTATATAAATAACATGAAGTGTTATTTGTAAGAATTGTAATTCTTTCTCTTTTGAAAATGTAGTCTGTACGAGCTCAAGTGAAGCGAAACGAAGATGTGTTTACATCAAACTAGAAGTAAGAGTCTTTACAAAATATAGTTTTTGCGAGCTTAAAMSACTAGAAASTGACCTTAACTGACTCAAAGTCCTCAAAGTAAATTCTTGTATAATCAATCTTCATCAGAGCTGCTGTCCAACGCACGTATTCTTTTCAACGGACGGTTTGGTATAGTTGCCGATTGATTCACAGTGTTTATTGTCACTGAAAACTCTCCTCCTTGGATAACGGCTCCACTAAATAATGCTACTGACTGTTGACCTGTGTTGCTGCTAGATTTCTGGGGCTGAGCAAAGGAACTAAAACCAGCTTTTTCAATGGGATTGTGAACGACAGACGTTGCGTTTGGCAGGCTCAGTGCTTTTTCGTTCGGTATATCTGCCAACACATTTCTACATCTACATAGTTCCAGCACTTGGCAACGTTCATTGGGTTACTAGCTGTATATTAGTATGAGGTCTCATTGACTAGTAACCTTTATACGAACACTACKCCAAGCCGATCTCAATGCTGGTGAGATGAGCCCTGTCCACACCACCGGGAACTCCGTGCCCTACTCTTAGTCGAATAGTGGTATGGGTTCTTTAACGTCCCTCTGATGCTAATGAGAAGTGTAGAGAGACGGGACCTCCGATTTAACGTCGTTATCCGAGAGGACGTGAAGATCTTACCATTTGCAGATGGAGAAACAAAGGCAGCAACTTCTACTCAATTATTTTAAGACCCTGAGTATTGGTCCGGCCAGGGTTTGAACCCACGACCTCCCGCATTGTAATCCGATGCTCAACCAACTGATTCAATCGGTTTGACATAGATTGTTGTTGTTTCGTAGAAAGCACACTGTAATTTTCGATGCTTTTTAGATTCCTGTGGCCGGAAAGCTGTGCTATGTGGCTAGGTGGAACTCCTTTTTCACTTAATGTTTGAATCATAGTTTTTCTTGAGCTGTGATTCCTTAGTTTACGATTTTCTATTCCGGCTTTCTCCGCCATTTCTTTCATCAATCCTCCCAGTTTGTTTACACCGATCTTGTTGTGTTTGAACCAAAGTTTGCTTGACGAAGCCCTTCTAACTTGGACGTGATTTACGGCCAAATAAAACGGACTATCTGGTTCATTCATATCAATAGGTCTTCTTTGTGCAAATACTTTGTAAACTGTTACAGGATCTTTTTCAGAACCATCCGTAGCAAACATTTTCGGTGGGAATGGTCTAACATCAGTTATGTTCGCTCCAGTACGTGTTTTCGTCTGCCTTTCGTTGTACTCAAGAAACTCAACGCCGTCCACTGTTTTGTTCAAAGTGACATCACCCCAGCACATATTGTTATGTTYCTGAATACCACGAAGTCCAAAATGGAGACTGTTAATTAAACCAAAGTGAGTTAAGAAGCGCCTCGGGACTTGAAGTTCCAAGGAGACCTTTTTCGTAGAGGACTTTCATTTCATCTTCGGTTAATGCCACGGATGAATTCGGCTTATTMCCTTTGCCATGTTTCTTTAACTGCTTTTGCTTAGACTGTAGGGTTTACGGTTTTTTTCAAATGCCAAATCCTTGATAAGTACTGGCTTGGTAGTTTTTGCGCGTTTGCGGAATTTTTTCAACATCCCTTCGTTCGTCTTTGGATTGCAGAAATAGTTTTAACAAGTTTATATCTCTGTTAGTCTTCGCTTGCGTGTTTTTGTTCTCCTGCTCGTTGATAAAGTCGTGTACATTGCCCTCGAAGAGTGCAAATCGGGCTTCAGCGGCCATGTTTGTCGTTCAACAAACTCGCATCGCGTCAAGGTATTCCGGGTCGACTTTGAAGCACAATCGTTCACGCTTCTGATTGGACGAACGATCGTGAGAAATAGTCTTTTCTGATTGGTTTAACTACATATTTGTACGAAATTTACGCGGGCTTGTTATTATGGATAAATCTTAGTATGTATGAAATAAAATGTATTATTATATGACTTAGATAGTACGCGCGCTCTGATTGGCTGAAAACTGGTCCGTGAAATCGCGTATCCASACCGCGKGTCYGTCTTTTTCCGTATCCGGACCGGAAATTGCTAATTTGATGGTCGTGCAGTTGGATCGAGGGAATCAAGACATCTCAGATTTGAGACTTTCTTTGCAATAAAAAATTCAAACAAAATCCATTTTTTTAATGATCTGAAAGAAAAAGATGATTCAATTTCAACTACTCCCGCGTTTTTGTCCGCGCTCGCGTCTTAGCACTTGACTTTCCCGCTCTTTTCCGAGTTGACCGTACAGTTGTTTTCAATGCCAACGGCATCAATCCAGCTTTTAGAAATGCTCAATAAGTATTCACCACAATTTAAAGATAGCCCAAAAAGGATCGTATTGGAAGACAAACTCAATGAAGTTGTAAAAGCTCAAAAGAAGCCAGAACATAAGCTTAAGTCCACAAACTACTCAAAACAAAAGTGAAAAGCCGAAGGGATTCAAACCGTTGTCTTGGCAAGAATGAAATCCTCCTCATTCCTCGATTCAATGACTTCTCGGTTGCTGGAAAACAAAGAAAATTGTAATTCTATATTGAGAKACATCCACTTCGAAAAAGTAAACAAATGGCTACACCGGCGGCCGCGACGATAGAAGAATCAGTGAAAATTCGTGAGTAATCCGTAATAATAATGTATTTGTGTATGAAAATAAACTGAATCAATGAAACAAGGAGCCAAAATCCCCGTCTTTTTAGCCGACAATTACTGAAAATATGATGATTTCTTTGTCATTTTACTCATATCGTGAGATATTTGAGAAAAGCCTTGCCATCAGATAGAGGGAGGCAACGGGTTGCAAGTTGACCAGTGAGACTTTTCCTATATACTTTGAGTAATTCTTCTACATAATCTACGATGTAAAAGTCATATAATAAACGASTTATTAACCTCGCTTGCTCGATCTGTACGGGAAAATATCAGACTTCGGTCTTGTATGAACGGACCTCGCTGCGCTCGGTCCGTACTGTCAAAACCTCGGTCTGATATATACCCGTACAGACCTCGCGCTCGGTCAATAACCTCTTAATACACTATATTCTAATGAACAAAATGCAAACGCCAATATCTATAAAGTGAAAATAGGACGGTTCTTCGTGTTTCAGTGTACCTGAATCCCGTTGAAACACAAAGCTACAATTATATATATAGAAGGACGAACTATTCAATGTTCATAGATTGTGTAATTCACGACAAGTTTGTTTCGTATGGCTCAGAGAACCACACTCATCGGGTTATTTACACAAAAACCGTACATTTCCAAATGCGCCTTTCAAAATACGACCATTCAAAATAGAACCGTTTCAAAATACGACCTTCGATTTAGAAAATTGCAAGATATGATTTTATAAAAAAAACATAGATACGCGCAGTCTGATTGGCCAAGAACTGCGTTTGTATGACAGYATGTAAACATAGTTTTGAATTGACGTCATCATCTTTGCAAGTACGAATTT